AGTAATCGAAAACCTTCCTACAGAACATCGAGTACAACAACATATCTTAAAATAACAATTTGTAAGATATCTGCGGCTAAAATAAGTCATGAGCGGCAAAAACACTGCCACTTCCTGCGTGCAACAAAAGCAAAGTGCCGAGGCGCTCAGCTGATATCGACGTCAACATTTCAAGAATATTCCTACAGAAATCGATTGTTCGTGAGAGGACCCATGTGCTGCAAGCACGCACGGAGAACTCGTCCACTTGTGTTTTGCAACCAATTTCCTTTTCCGCATGTTTTCTTCTTTCTGTTTCGTGCCTTTGTTATCTACAAACTTGAGAAATTGCTAGAAAATTCCCAATAGGAGAACACTTGAGCGTTTTGATAATGATCGTTGACATGGCGACATGTTTTACAACGTAAAAAACATAGTCGGAGATCGATAATTTCGTTTCTAACGTCGATGTTGTCGCAGCTGATAGGTTTCTAAATGCGTATCAACTATTCCGTGTTAAAACTATTTGGAACAGTACCGGGCATCCTTCGGCCAAAGTCACCGCTTAGATATGAGTCTTGTCGGATGTAAGTGAACTTTTCATGATTTACGTTGCTCGATGATGTTTTCGCGCATCTGCGAACTTTGATTCTTTACGTTGCCGATTAATGCATACATAGAATTCGACATTTCGAAATACATTGAAGGGGAACAAGCGTCAATAAATTGTGATGCGATGCCTTTTTTTCGCGAGCTCATTAGCTCGTAGCCTATTTTGCCTTCTATCCTTGCTGCAAATAGCAAGCAATATATTTAGATAATACCTACCTGATGAAATACCTGACCGTATAAACCTGATTTAAAAGCTTGAACTTTGGGAATTTCGCTCAATGCTCGTTCTTTCTTTGTTGTTGGAAGTTAACGGCAAGATGCAGTTTCGAGACGCAGACTCTATCGCCTTTGAATCTTGGCGATTTTCTTACTCTATATCAATAGCACTCGTTTACTGCTTCCTGTATGCCCATATCCCCCGGGCATACTTCACGCGATTTTAGTCGCGACGCGTTTTGGCATACGCTAGTGTTCATAACTTATCGTAACCGAACCCAATGCAAAGAAGGCAGAGCATCATTCTATCAATCTGCAATTATAGACACTCTGCACTGTAGTCTGCAAGTGTTGAATCTGAGAGCATCTGGCAAACCGCCAAATCTGGTCGCGAAATCGCGCGAAATATGCTCAACCCAACACTACTTTTTGAGCAGGGAATTTCTCGGTTTTTTATTTCGGTTTTCTTTCTGGTATAAATAGTTCATTCTACAACGCGTACCAAAATTGTATCGAACATTTGAACTTCAATAATTTCTGCATAATGAAAACTGTGTATCTTTGAGTGCCATACGATAGGGCTAGCTCTAACTTAGATTTACAGTATAGAGCAAATCATCGTTTTG